CCAGCTGCCCTGCCCATCCGCTCCTGGCGGTGAGGACCCTTGGGGACAGCACTCAATCCAAATCGATAGTCAACTAAAGGCAGATCCCTCAGCCCTGGTCCTAGCCCATTCCAGGAAGGTGGCAGGGCCAGTCCCACCCGGCTACATCCTGAGCCCGTTGCCCGGTGGGGGAACACTGAGGCCCCAGGAGGGAGAGGGGCTTGACCAGAGCCCCTTGGAGCCCACCAGGGGCTACCGAGCTAGAGCTTGGACCCTGTCTTACACTTTGGGGACACAGCAACCCAGGGAGGCTGGAGACCCGGGTCCTGCCCTCCAGGGGCTCTGAGGCCCTGGGAAAGGGGTTCCAGGCAGCAGGAAAGTCCCCTGGCCCTGAAGGGGGGCTTTGGGGCTGGAGAGGTGTGGGGCGTTGGTGTGAGGGCAGAGACGTTGTGTGTCCCTAGGGGGCTTTTCCTTCAGCCCCGCTGCCAGTGTCACCCACCTCTCCTTCCTCTGGCCCCGGGAAGTCCCTGAGAGTCAGGGTTGTGCAGGTGAGCCCCTAGACCCCCAGGACAGACCAGACCCTCAGGCAGGGCAGGGAGAGGCAGCCCAGAGTCCTCAGGCCCTGGGACACCCGGCCCCATACGAGTGACACAGAGCCTATTTGCTGCCTAGTCCTGTGTCATAATCACTCTTTTATGCTCCCTGCTTTGCGTGGGCACACAGAGCTGGCTCCAGGATCGCGTGACCTGCACCCCGGCACCTGACTGGAATGGGTGCCCACTCACCCCCTGTGAAAGAGGTCTGGGAGCCCCCAGAGGCCATCCAGCAGGCCGCACCGGGCCCAGAGAGGGTCGTCCACTTTCCTGAGGTCACACAGTGGCCAGGGAAGGACACAGTCCTGTGTAAACGTGGTCTCTGGACCCAAGGCCCCAGCCAGCCGGGGGTCCTTGACAGTCCCCGCTCCTTTGTGAACCTCAGTTTCCTCATCTGTGCAAGACGGGCACCCACCTCTGCCCGGCTGCTGGGAACAGATGGTGGGCAGCTCTGCGCCTGGCACAGAGGTGGGCAGGGACCCTTCCGGGGCCCTGGGTTCCAGGTCCAGAGGCCACTCCCTTCCCTCCTCCCCATTCCCTGCCCAGCCTCATTTCCCACCCAAGTTATTTCCTGTGACTCCCATCGGTGGCTGTTCCCTTCTTAATGGCCACGTTCATCCTCCAAGAACTTGGGGGTTGCCGCGTCATGCAGCTCTGAGGCACCTACCTCAGTTTCCCTTTCTCAGCAGTGGGGAGGTTGATGGCTCAGGCTGCTTTACTGCAAGACCTGTCAGAGAGGAGGCTTGGTGTGGTGCCAGCCTGGCCACATCCCCTCCTGCCCAGAGCTGCCTAGGGTTCCTTGTTCTGTGGGTTCAGTGTGTGGCCACCGCTCTGCCCTAATCTCTCCCCATCTCCCTGCTAGGACCGCTCAGTATTGCTTCTTGTCCTTCCTTGTGCTGTTCCTTCTGTGGGGACACCCACCCCCATTCCCATTCACCCTTTAATTCTCAGTCAAGTCATAATATTAACATTATATCTGGAGGCAGAGAGGTCCAGGCAGAGGGTACCAACCCGTGCAAAGGCCCTGGGGTAGGACCGTGCCTGGCATGTGGGAGGAACAGCCAGGAGGCCCGCGTGTCTGGAGCAGAGGGAGCGAGGGGGAGAGAGGGAGGAGGGGAGGGCAGGGAGGGGACAGAGCAGGTCGTGCAGGACCTTGTGGGCATCAGGGAGGGCTTGGACTTTTACCACCAAAGGAGGAGGGATGGGACCTGACTCGGGTGCTAATAGGTGCCCTCTGGCACTGAGGGGAAGACAGACGGGGTGGCGGGTGGCATGGCAGGAGATGACTCCATTGGTCCAGGTGAGCAATGAGGGGGCTGGACCGGGTAGAGGCAGAAGAAGGGGTAAGAATTAGACAGTCTCAGCCTAGATTTTGGAGACAGAGCTGACAGAATTTGCTTATATTCTCCCCCAACCCCTTGCAGGGGAGCCTACCCCTGGTCTTGCAGGAAGCCGGAAGAGGTGGGAGGGTCTGGGGCTTTGCCATGGCAAGTTCTTCCAGGGAGAATGGGGGCCTAAGAGACCCAGGAACTTTTTTTTTTTTTTTGGCTGTACCTCACGGCATGTGGGATCTTACTTAGTTCCCTGACCAGGGATCGAGCCCACACCCCCTGCGTTGGAAGCGCAGACCGATAGGGAAGTCCCAACCCTGGAACTTTTAACCTTCTGTGTTCTGCCTGATCCTTTCCACCCTGGATTTGTCCCACACCTCCCACCCCCATTCCTGCTCCAGGCCTTGAAAGCCCCCGTGCCATGTACTCCCCCGGCCCAGCAGGCTGGAATGACCTCTTTTGGGGAGTTGGGAGCTGATGGCTGGGCCCCGCCTGTTCCTGGATCAGCCCCATCCTGCCCAGTAATTGGGAAGGTGGGGCTGCAGAAGCCAGGGGGTAATTAGGGGCCTCCTTTTTAGAAGGCGGCTGCCCCTGGCTCCAATGGGGCATAGGGGGTGGGGGAGGCATCGTGGCCAGGGCCACGTGACCCCTGCCCATGCCAGCTGGCATCGGAGGTGAGGAGACTAGAGCAGGGGAGTCACACACACACCCGCCCGCCCCGGGGTGGTGGGTTTGAGCCCCTCCGTGTTAAAATTCTACCTCGGTTTCCCCAGATGCTCTGTGCGGGCCTGGGCAGCCGATCCAAGTGGTCTGGGCCAGAGCTGAGCCCCCTCCCCAGATGTGGCCAAGCTGATGTGCATCTGTGGGCGGGACCAGCTGCTGCGGTCACCCTGGCCCCAGCTGGGACCTTCACCGTCCTCATCAACCACTTGTGCTCTTAAAGGGCCCGTGGTTGGGTCCCAGTGTGTATCTGTGGTCTGACTGTGCGCCTGCCTGTCTGTGCACGTGCATGTGAGTGAGGGGGATCTGACGCTACGTGTCAGTGTGCATACTCTCTGGCTGGGTGCAGGTTTGCTCTGCTGACTGCCCATCTCTGTAGCCCCACTGTGTGCCCGCATCCGAGTCTGTGAGCCGTGTGTTTGTACCTGCCATGCCCTGTGGAGCTCCAGTGTGCCTCTGTGTTCATGCTTGCCTGTAGCCCAACCGTGTATATGTATTGCCTGCCTGACCGTGACCCTGTGTGTATATCTCATCTGGCTGTGTGTCTGTGGTCTTGGCATGTACCTGTGTGTCTCTGACCTGACTGCTTGTGGTCAGACTGTGTATATATGTATTATCTGCCCCATTGTGACCCTTTGTCTGTATCTTGTCTGATTCTTTGTGTCTGGGGTCTGATTTTGTGCCTGTCCATGTTTGTGGTCTGTGTGTCAGTTTTATTGGCCTGACTACACATGTGGACCCATCTCTGTTGCCTGACTGTACAAATACATCTGTGACTATGTCTGGTCTCCCTGTCTGTCTGTGGTCTGACCGTGTGTCTGGGTCTGTCTGTGGCTGGCCTGTGTGCAAGCATCCTCCTTTTCTGTCTGGTCTGACTGTCCATGGTCTGACTGTGTGCCCGTTGAGTGCCCCTATCCCCACCCCCCTCATCCCACCTTCTCCACTCTCCACCCTGGGCCATGACCCGGCCACCACCAGCCCAGCCTTCCCCTGGGGCCACTCTGGGGCTGGGCGTGGTGACCACAGCTGGATATTTTGGGAGCCAGAAACACAGGGGCTGCCCCATGATTACGTGGCACCCGTCCCCGTGGCCATGGTGCGGACCCGCCTGGGGCATGGCCTGGGGTGGGTGTCTAAGGTTGACCCGGCTGCGGGGGCCTCATCCTTGGTCCTCCTCCTGCCCCCGCTTCCACCCTGGCCCTGGCCAAAGTGGAGAGGGGGCCATCCTAGGGTTTGGCCCCTGAGAAGGACCCTTCTGCCCTAGAGGAGTTTGGATTCTCGCCGGAGAAACAGACGCTGGGTGATGAACATTCTCACTTGATTTGCAGACTGGGGTAAATGCTATGAAGGATGATCTCCATCGTTTCTGAAGCCGTGGGATGTGGAATTGGGGGTGGGGGCTGACCTGCCAGGGGCAGGGAGGGCTTCCAGAGGAAGTGACGGTGGAGCTGAGACCTGTCGCGTGGTAGTGTGGGGACAGCATTTCCAGCAGAGGACACAGCAGGGTGTGACTGAGCTGGGACTGTATGGCTGCATCTCCCGTGAGAGAGGGGACGAGACCAGTAGGCGCAGCTTCCTCTGGGGCTGACGGGAGCCATGGGAGGTATTAGAGCAGGGCAGGGACGGGCAGGTGTGTTTGCGGGGAAGGTCCGTCTGGTGGCCGAATGGGCAGATTTGTAGGGACTGTCAGCAGTGTTAGCTGGAGCCTCTTCCTTCGGGTGGGCGGTCCAGCCTGCGAAGGGGGGGGAAATTAGATGTTCAGAGCGCTTTCTAGAGGGGTTGCTCAGTCCTGGTTTGGAGCTCAGTCTGGGGTCGGGAGCTCAGCCATGGGTAAGGGCTGTCTCAGTCTGTTCTGGCTGCTATAACAGAATGCCATAGACTGGGTGGCTTATAAACAACGCACATCTCTCACGGTTCTGGAGGCCAGAAGTCCAAGATCAGGGTGGTGGCAGAATTGGTGTCTGGTGAGAACCTGCTTCCTGATTCACAGACGACCATCTTGCTATGTCCTCACATGGTGGCGGGGAGCGAGGAGGGAGTTCTCTGGGTCTCTTTATAAGGGCACTAATCCCATTCACAAGGGCTCCACCACATGACCTAATCACCTCCCAAAGGCCCCTAAGACCATCACACTGAGGGTTAGGTTTCAACATAATAACTTGGGGGGGGGGGACACAACATTCAGTTCATCGTGGGGGCTCAGCGCTTTCTTTCTGCCCCATCGTCGCCCCCTGACCCTCCCCCATTGTCCTGTAACCCTCACCCTCTCATCCCGTGACTCTCCTCTGCCCCTCTGTGATCCTCCTGCTGCCTCCCCCATGAAGGCCCCCTGGATTCCCCTGCTCCCCTCTCACGGCCCCTCTTTTTGTCTCTGCAGACGCTGCCCCGACTGACGCTTGGCTTGAGGCCTCTCTGTGAGGGACCGTGGGGGGGGGGCCATCCCCCCTCCAGGGCCAGAGGTTGGAGGTTGCAGGTCACGGCCGAGCATGGCGCCTGCCTGGTGCCATGGTGTGGCATCTGTGGTTGGTCCCATGGGCCTCCTCGTGGTCCTGCTGGTAGGAGGCTGTGCCACAGAAGGTAAGTGTGGGCGTTTTGAGTTTGCATGTGCACGTGTGAACACGTGTCCCCACCCCCCCGGGGGGGGTGGGGAGGGCGCTGGTTTTGCCGTGCAGAGCCTCTGTGCTCTGTGAAAGAGGCCGAGTAGAATGCTTGCTGTGCACTGGGTCCTGAGAGGTGCAGAGGTGAATAACAAGAATGGTATGAAAAAGCAGTCATAGTGACAGTGATGACAGTGTCTGTTTGCCCAGCGTTGAATCTGCACCAAGCCCAGTGCTAAATGCAGGCTTTACCTGCTTCATCTCCCTCCACCTCACAGAACCCAGCATGCTAGTTTCATTACCATCCCCATTTTTCCATGAGAGAAACCAAAGCTCAGAGGGGACTGGGGCTTACTTGAAGTCACTCCTGAGGTAGCCACAGAGTTTTCCTTTCCTTGCCACAGGTGGAAATACCAGCACCCAGTTCGTAGACACACAGGCAATCAATCAAACCTTCCCAGGCGGAGCCAGGGGAGGCTTCTTGGGAGAGAGGGCATTGGAGCTGGGGTTTTGTGGGTGTATAGGAGTTTACCAATAGAAAGGGCATTGCTGGCGAAGGTGTTAGCACACAGAAAGGCCTGGAGGTGAAGAAAGATGTTGGTGTAGTTTGGGGATGGGCAAGGCTGTGCTTCTGGCAGTAACATGGAGAGGATGAGAGTCAGTCCTAGTCCTAATGCCACGGTCTATCCCAGAGGAGCCTAGAGGAGGTGTCATTAGGCTGATGGGGACACAAAGGGTCAGGTCAGCAGGGAAAGAAACTGGGATCTGTTGTTAGGCTGGGTTTGAATCCTGACTTCGCTGCTAACCTGCTGTGTGACCTCGGGCTAGTGACTCAACCTCGCTCAGCGGCCATTTCTACCTTGACAGAATGAAACTCAGCATCATCCATCTCCCAGCATTCCTGGGACAAGGACACACGATAAGCCCCTGCACGCTGCTTGCACACAGTAGGTCCACAATCCCGGGTTACCACGAGCATGGTAATTATTGCCCCTGGATGAGAACACCAGAGACATACACACCTGCCTCATCCATCCGTGCTTTTTCTCGTTTTTATATTATTTTGTAGTAACTGCCTAACACATTCAGATCAGCCACCACCACCTGATGAGATGGAGGCTATTCTCCCCACCCCCGTTGTACAGATGGGGAAACTGAGGCACAGTGAGGTTACGTTTTACAGCCAGGAATCGGCCAGTCTGCCTGGTGCCAGAGCCTGGGTTGCTACCCATCACCCCACACAGCCAGGCGTGCCTGGGCTGCGATCCATCTGGTCACCTCCCGGGGCCTGTGTCTTCTGTGCTCTATTCCTTGCAGTGGGAATAGTGGGCCGAGGGCTGAGCAGTTTTAGCTTTTCATTCATTCACTTAACGTTTCCCCTGCCCTCGGCACTGCTGAGGTCGGGGCCAGAGCATCCTCAGGGAGTGGGGGGCCGTCCTGGGCACTGTGGGGTGCGGAGTAGCATCCCTGGCCCCATCCCCTCGATGGCACCCCCACGTGACCACCACTGATTTAACTTACACTAGTGGAATAAATCATATATTTACGACTTTGACATCTTGCTCCAGTGATAATTAACCAGCCTTGGGCAGGATGCTGAGATCATTCCCATTGACAGGTGAGGAAACTGAGGCTGCAAAGTGACCATTGTGAGGAGGGGGTAGAGATCCCAGAGTTTGGAGGCTATCCTGTCCTGAGTTCGAATCCTCGCTCTATCGTGTGACCATGGGTGGGGCTGTGCTCTCATTCATTCAGTGGGTTTTTCATAAGCACCTACTGTGCGCCAGGCACTGGTTTAGACCTGCGAGACAAAACAGATATCCCACCCCCTTTTTTTTTTTTTTTTTTTTTTTTTGTGATACGCGGGCCTCTCACTGCTGTGGCCTCCCCCGTTGCGGAGCACAGGCTCCGGACGCGCAGGCTCAGCGGCCATGGCTCACGGGCCCAGCCGCTCCGCGGCATGTGGGATCCTCCCGGACCGGGGCACGAACCCGCGTCCCCTGCATCGGCAGGCAGACTCCCAACCACTGCACCACCAGGGAAACCCCCCACCCCCTTTTGGAGCTGATAATCTTGAGGGAGAGACACCGAGTGTGCTGGATGGTGGATGTGCCCCGGGAGCAAGATAAACAGGGAGGGAGATGAGAGCATGAGTGGAGGTTTAGGGGCTGCATTTCAAATGGGTGGGAGGGCATCGGGGAAGGTCACACCGAGGAGATGACATCTGAACAGAGACCTAAAGGAGCTGGGGAGTGCACCCCATGCGTGTCTAGGGGGAAGGTGTCCTGGGCAGAAGGCATAACCTGTGCAAAGGTCCTGGGGCAGAACTGTGCCTGGTGTGTTGGAGGAACAGTGAGGAGGCCCGTGTGTCTGGAGCAGAGTGAGCGAGGGGGAGAGAGGGAGGAGGGGAGGGCAGGGAGGGGGCGGGGCAGGCTGTGCAGGGCCTTGTGGGCAGCAGAGAGGATGTGGCTTGTACCCCAGGGAGGTGGGAGCCCTGGAAGGCTGTGGGCAGAGGAGGGGCAGGTCCTGACCGAGGCGCTCACAGGTGCCCTCTGGCTGCTGAGGGAGGACAGACTTGAGGCTGGGGAGGACGGGATGGGGGGATGCCAGGGCAGAGGAGACTGCAGTGGTCCAGGTGAGCCATGAGGGAGTGTGACCCAGGCTATCAACACGGGGCATGTAGCCAGGGCTAGCTCCGTGGATGCTCCCTCAGTGAGCCCTGAAATTCTTTTTTTTTTTTGGCCACACTGCGTGTAGCATGTGGGATCTTAGTTCCCTGACCGGGGATCGAACCCATGCCCCCTGCAGTGGAAGTGCGGAGTCCTAACCAATGGACCGCCAGGGATTTCCCCTGGAATTGTTACTACTGTATCCCTTTAGGTGTTGGTAGTGGCCTAGACTCAAACCCAGGTCTCCGTCTCCGAAGCTGGGGCATCTTGACCCCAGGAGGTGGTCTGTTTAGCAGGAACCCTGTCATCTGGGGGCCAGCAGAGGGGCTGTGGGCACCGTGATTGGCACTGCCAGCTTCAAGGAGTAGCCCAGGTCCTCGGGAAACCATTCGGGTGGGGGCTGTCAGGTGGTAGAGAGCCCGGGCAGGCAGCTGATATGTCCACCACCCAGCACCAAGAGGAGTGATTTCTGCCCTAAAAACAGCTTCTGGTCCTGTGGGGCCTTCCCAGGGTGCTGTGCGGCCAGTCCAGGCTGGGTTGGAGGGGACTGGTGGGTGGGCCTCCAGCTGTGGCACCAGATTTTTCTCTGCAAAATCTGAAATGGAAAAACAGAAATCAGGCCAAGCCCTTCCCAGGCCCTGCGCTGTTGGCGTCGCCACTCTGAACCTCGGTCTCTTCATCTAAGAAACAGGAACACCCAGGGTGCTCTCCATCACTGAAGACCCACAACCCTGTATATCAGGTGTACTATTTGCAAGGCTTTGGGAGCCAAATAGGACCAGGTTGGAACCTTAGCTCTTGCCCATCACAAGCTGAGTGACTGGGGGCCAGTCGCTCACCCTTTCTGAGCCTCGGAATAGAGCTGAGGGTGAGAACAAGCCCAGCACAAAAGGAGCGCTTGCTTGCCACAGGCTGCGGCCATACCCCAGTGTGTCTTTCTTATGTCTGGGGCCCCTTTGCCAAGAAGAGGAGGGTTTGTCCAAATGAGAGAATCTAAGCATCCACAGGAAATATCCTAATGGGGGTGCAGCGGGCGGAGAAAGCTCTTCCGGGCTGGCTGGGGTCCCCGAGCTGCCTGGAGGTAAGCTGAGAGGCGTCTGCCCTGCAGCGAGGGGGCGCCAGGGAGCGAGTGGGCAGCTTCATCGGGCCCAGTATTAGGCAAGCATCAAGGTTCAAAGCCCCAGTTTTTCAGGGGTCACCGGGCACAGAGAAGTGGTGTGGCGGGGTCCCAAGGAGCGGGGTCTGTTTCATGCCCACCCTGCCAGGTGGCACATAACCAAGTATTTCAACCCAGTGTGATCGGGGCTGTGATGGAAGGGGGCGCCCATGGAAGGATGGGGACAGAGGGGGTCCTGACCCGGCCAGTGGTAATCCAAGAAGGCTCCCTGGGGGAGGTGCTGGCTGAGCTGAGGTTGAAGCCGCCAGATGAAGAGAGGAGGAGGGACAGCACGGGCTCCCATCGTGTCTCGTTTCCCGGATTGGAGGGTGCTCGGGGTGTCTTCCCGGCTCCGAGTCATAAAAAGGCAGCTGGATGCTTCTCACTCCCTGCAGCCCGCTTCTGCCCTTCCTTCCAGTGGCTCCCCAGGGAGGATTTTTCCCCAGAAGCGAGATTCCTGACCTGACCACAGAGACTTGCCCCCATGACCTTGGCTGGGGACCCACATGGCCCCAGTCACCATTCCTGTAGGAGGGGCAACCCAGGCAAGGCAGAGCCAGAGAGGCAGGCCCAGTCCAGGGCTCAGCGTGGAGCAAAAACGTCGAAATCAGGCTCGGGGCCTGGAGGTGAGAGGAACAGAAGACGTGGGCTTGGGGACTGATAGGCCTAGGATCCAACCCTGTTGCTGTCATTTCTGAGCTGTGTGATGTCATGCAAGCTCATTAAACTCCCTGAATCTGTACAATCTCATCTGTACAGTGGAATCAACAATCACTTCCCCAGTAAGATACACAGGATTTGAGGGAGCCCACTGATGCCTGCATGCAGTGGGTCTGCCGATCTTCCAGAGAGGTGGCCAGTGTAGACTTACATGGTCATATCAGTGGGAGCACAGCCTGGAATGAGGGAGGTGAGGCCAGTCAAGGCGCTGAGACGGGGACTCTCTTTTGTTCAAAGCCCAGCCTGAGTCACAGATGGGAGAAATTGGGCTCTGTGGCACCCAGACTTGGAACTTGAGGCCTCCTTGAACCTCTCGGCACTTCTGAGCAGCCAGAACTTCCTAGGTGAACCTGAGTGGCTCAGCGCTCAGAGGCCTGGCCTTGCTCAAGCTTGAGTTGTTCATCCTCTCTCTGCCTCTCCTCAGAGCCCAAACTTTTACTTACTTAATATATTTCTTTAATTGGCTCACCTTTCTATTCAAACCTTACAAAAATAATAATTTCAATTTATCTTCAAATAGTTCTAAATGTAAAAAAGTTACCAGGGTATGAAGCCTTCTTTCCCCTGTGTCCAGCCACCTGCTTTCTCCTCCCAGAGGCAGCTGTTGTTTCTGTGCGTGCGCACGCGCGCGCACACACACACACACACACACACTTTCCCCATTCTCATTTTTCTCATCACACAAACAGGAGCATTTACTATACTTTTTACCCCTCACTTTTTGTCCACTTCATAGTGTATCTTGCTGTTCCTGTCCTAGAAGTTCGTTACAAAAGCATTCTTGTCCCTTTTTACAGCTACATAGTATTCCACTTAGTGGGTGGCCCAGTGTTCATTTAATCATCCCCTTTTGTTGTTTCGTTGGATATGTAGGTTGTTTCCCTCAGGACCTTGTAAGTATGTTGCAGCCCTTGGGTCTGTCGGTAAAACTCTCAGAAGTAACTGAATTCATTTTATGGGATACATTGTAGCATATTACTGTGGATGGAAATCCAGTATCCCTTTGGGCGATTCAGAGGTTACTGTGAAAAGTCAATAAAAAAAGAGGACAATGTTAATGAACTCTCAGGTACTGTAGCCTGTTCCAGGTGCAGAGTTGAGGCTGTGTAGGCATCAAAGACATAGTAGCTCCCACTTGAGACTTTCCTGGGGAGACTTAGCACATCAGATCATCATGAGGGGCAAAGGATGGGGGCACAGGACCAGCCCGGTTCAAATCCCCGCTCAGCCACTGGCTGGCTGTGTCGAAGCAGGTGCCTTGCCTGGTCTGTGCCTTGGTTTTCTCGAGTGTGAAATGAGGATCACGGTGGCTCTGTCCCCCAGCACTGTCAGAAGGATGTGATGTTGCTGAGTGTACACCATCCGCATACGGTAGGCGCTCAATAAGCACTTGCTCTAGTGGTTGGCAGCATCCGATCCCCCATTTTCAGCTCTGGCCTCCAGCTCTGACTCCTTGTGTTTGGACACCTCCCACAGATGAAGAGGCTGGAGCCCTGGGTTCGATCTCTGGTCTGGCTCTGACCTCAGGTCCCTTGGTCACCCCTCTGCTTCCCTGTTTGATGCCTCAGTCTCCCCGCATGTCCTATCAGGGATTGATTAGACCAAGTTCTCTCCTCCCAAGTCTTTTTAAGATCAAGGACCCTCCGTAGTTTGGCTGGTCACTACTGAGGGCCTTCAGGGGCTGAATTTAGGGACCCCAAAGTCTCAGGGGTATCCCCTCTCACCTTCTCCTGTGGCACTGGGTCTGAGCAGGTGTGCCTACGTGAGGTGTGTCCTCGTGTGAGTATGTGTGGCAGTTGTATCCGGGTGGGGGGGTGGAGGTGCTGGGCAGGGCCCGGGGTGCCCACAGTGGGCAGTGGTATCATTTCTTCTTCTCTCCAGCCCTCCTATTGGGCCCACATGGTATCTCTGTGTCCGGACAGAGGATGGAGGGCATGTTTACCTGGCCCCATAGGGTCCTCGTCACGTGCCCTGGCCCACCAGAGCCCCTCCGCTTCCTGCTCTCTCCCCAGAGCCCCCCAGGTTCATCAAAGAACCCAAGGACCAGATTGGCGTGTCAGGGGGCGTGGCCTCCTTTGTGTGTCAGGCCACCGGAGATCCCAAGCCACGCGTGACCTGGAACAAGAAGGGCAAGAAGGTCAATTCGCAGCGCTTTGAGGTGAGTCAGGGGGAGGGGGGTGAGGGGAGGGGAGACAGCTGAGGGCCAGCCCCACCCCTGGACGGGGCCACGGCTGCTCAGCCACAGAAGCCGTCCCAGAAGCGTTCCCCAGATGGAGCATGGGCAGTCAGGGCAGGCACCCTCTCCAGACAGGTCCCTTCTCTTCTCCCACGCACTCTCTGCCACGTGCACCCCCCACCATGTGCCCCATGAGCGCCCTCCAGGCTCGCTTGTTCTGCCACCTTTGTGCTGTGTGGCCTCAAGCAACTCCCTGCCCTCTCTGAATCTTATCTCACCACTGCACACAGAAGGGAACTCATAACTCTGTGCACAAGTATGTGGTCAGACACACACATTTCCACATCCAGCATGCCTTCACGTGCCTTCAGTCACCAGACTTACGTGCATGTGTCACACACCCACTTACGCACAATACCCTTTGTACAGACCGTTTTCTGCCTCCAGCATCTTTACATGGATGTATACACACATGTGTGTACAGCCCCCAGCTCCTCTCCTGTTCACGCCTGGGACCCCAGCCTCACCCTGACCTTTGTCCCCTACCCATGGCAGACGATCGAGTTTGATGGGAGTGCAGGGGCCGTGCTGAGGATCCAGCCACTCCGGACACCCCGGGATGAGAATGTGTACGAGTGTGTGGCCCAGAACTCAGTCGGGGAGATCACTGTCCATGCCAAGCTCACTGTCCTCCGAGGTATTGGGCTCCCCGGGGTGGGTCGGGGAGGACCTGGGGCCTGGACTTTGGGGACAAATACCAAAGGGATTCATGAAAGTCTTGCTTTGGATTTTCTCTTTGGGGGGGACCTTGATCTCCTTTTTTTAGCCTGTAATACAACTGGGACCCAGAGCCTTCTGGTAGGAATTTACTGAGTCTTTGCCGAAAAGAAGAGTGTTAAGGGACTAGAGTCATCTCTATTTGTCATCTTAATCGTGCTCTTCTGATTACAAGAGGCAGATCCAACTCAAACTGAGAATTCATTGGTTCATGTAATTAAAATCTCTGTGGAGTAGACTAGCTTCAGGTTCAGCTGGATCCAGGAGCTCACATGATGTTCTCAGAGTTCACTTTCTGCCTCTGGATTTGTTTTCTTCCCTATCAATGGTATCCTTAGTGAGATTCCCCCCATTAGCCCCAGGCTCCAGGGCCCCCTGGACTAAATGACCCAGGACTGTTGCTGTTCGTTGGCCCAGCTTGGGTCAGATGACCATCCCTGAGCTGGTCACTGTGTCTGGAGGAACAAATACTCTGATCGGCAGAGTCTTCCTTGGAGTCAAGTAGATGGGGTCAATAAGGGGTGGTTCCCTTAAAGAAACAAAGGAGGAATAGAAGGCTGGCTAGGCAGAAACAGCTAAATATCACCTCCTCATAGATTCACACAGATCCTTCCTGCGGGCTTCTTGCTGGCCTCATTCAGGTGGGCTAGGGACCAGGAAATGGCTCCCTTATTGTAAACCAGTATCATTCAGACAGTCTCACCACAAACCCGCCTGCCCCCGACCCCAGCTGCTCCCTGCTGCCTTCTCCCTTGCAAGGTGGTTTTAACCCAGGGGCCTGCAACTTGAAATCGCATCCTGGCACTGCCCCTCCGTAGCTTTGTGACCTTGGGCAAGTTAATGAACCTCTCTGAGCTGCAGTGTCCTCACCTCCAAAGTGGGATAATAATGATGTTCACCACAAGGGATTGTTTCAGAACCAGATACAAGTGGGGGACCAGCATGGTGCCACGAGGGGAACAAGCATTTGGTTGATTCTACTGATCTGATATTATTATTACTGTCATTGTTGTTATTCTGGTTGTGACAAGACAGCTGCCACCAGCCATACTGCAGCTGTCAGGTGGGTGGGTGGGTAGGTGGATTCTGCCTGTCGCCTACAGGGGCACCCTGACCCTGTCTGATCTCTAAGTAGAAGCCACTTGGAACTTCCCTGGTGGTCCATTGGTTAAAGACTTTGCGCTTCCACTGCAGGGGATGCGGGATCCCTGGTCAGGGAACTAAGATCCCATATGCTGCGCGGCATGGCCAAAACGAAAAAAAAAAAAAGTACAAGCCACTGCCAGCCATTGGGGGCAGGTGGCCCCCACATGCGGCTCCCAGGTTGGGAGTCATCCCATGTCCTCCCAGGCATTGGAGCCACAGTCAGCTTGCAGCTCTGGGAGGAGCCGTCACATTGGCCGCAGG